CATTAGCATCGCAACTGAATTAGTATATTTGGTAATATCACAAAACCGAGACAATTAAATAGTCGGGGATGCTCTTAATAACAGATTTAATAAAGTCTGAGACACCTGTAGCTGAATTATCGTTGAAGTTTGCTGTTTCCTAGGAGCGACAAAAACCGAACTAGCGACAGCAAGAAGGTAAAATAATATCTGACTTCCACGCCTCCGCCTTTTTTGGTATCAATTTCTATCCGCTAGACTGAACTTGGACGAAACTGCGGGAACAACTGACGCTAATGCAACTTCGTAGGTCGTTACGGAACAGTTTAAGATGCAGATTCACGTGTAACAGTTGTAAGAAGGAATGTGCAGGATTGAAGAACTAGGGAGACAAACATTAGCCCTGTGCGCGAACATCTACAAAGGAAGTTCTGGTAAATGTTCAAAGTTCAATGAAACAATCACGCATACATACATTTACTTTCTTACCTTATTTAATTGAAAGATTCTTCACTCTCTATAAATAAAAATAAATAATGCCAAGCATTAATATGTAAGCTCTCAAGATTACTTGAGCAGTACATACATTGTATTTAAAATGTTTGTAACTAGTTTGAAGAGTTCTTTAAGATCCTGGCTAGCTAAGCTTTCCCATTCCCTTCTTACAAATATAAAGATATATTTCAAGTTAACAGCAGCACTTATTTATTACTGTGAAAAATAAACGGTATCCATTACGTTTGTAATAGTTGGATACAAACAGAATTTAATAAATCTGATTTATATTTTAAAATTATTAATTGTCTATACTTCAACGTTTCGAATAAGATGCAATGAGGAGGACTCACTATCAGTGTGCGATCTAAGCAATAAATCACAATGTCCACGCATTAGCGGGCCGGGAATAATAGCTTCACGCGTTCGATCCCTGTTTAGTGTGAGTGCAATAACGGGTTGTAGTTGTAGTCGTGTTATAACGTTGAATGGCGAGATTGGCGAGACACATACACGCAAGCGCATTGCACGTGCTTAACAGTCGTATATATCGTACGTAGCAATGCTTCATTCAGTAGTATAGCTCGTGGAATATTCCAAAAGAGAGCGATTAACAGAGACGTTTTCAAAAAAATCAAAACCCGTGGTGAACAGCAACGTTCGTATAATTACATAAGCGAAATCATTGAAATGAGGGATTGTCAGTGTCTGTTCATTTCAGGTTCCACGCTGTATGCACAGCTGTTCCTGATCTATTGTATTCCAACTATAATAGCAAATTCGGATACTGGGATCATGACTCAAAGATCGAATTCGGTGGAAATTCAAGATCTCCAGGATATATGGACACCCTTTGGTGTGGCTCTGTCTGGCATTTACAAACGGTAAATAAGTCGTTTCTATTTAACCTAGTCCACGGGTGGTACTAATTTTTCTGGAAATATCACCTGAATCTCTGAATGAAGTCTCTAACTTCTTATTCGAGTTATACAAATTTATTCAGTTAATCATCATGCTTTTTTGCAGGAGCTTCGCTTATATAACACTCAAGGATAGATTACCAGTAATTTTAACTAAAATAATTGATACCCTTAGTCGTAATAAGGAGAGCATTGCTCAGAGATATGGACAGGTAAAATAAACATTTCTGGATACATTTCTATATAGGATCAGATAATGTCTACAATTTTCATTTAGGAAGCTTTGGGTGACGTGAAACAAATGTCAGGATATATTAGTAAGTTGAAGAATGAATTAGTAACGAATAAAACATTGAAACCTATGCGATTGCTACCTGATGATCCGAACAATGATGCTGGAGAATGGAATAAGTATCTGATGCGAAGGACTGATATGGAAGGTGATACGCCGACATGGTTCAATACTGCATGGTTGTACTGCGAATGTTATATGTACAGGATTATTGCTCAAGAATTCTCTCTCACGTAAGTTGTAGAAAATGGTACAACCCTTCATTATATAAAATGACAATCTCATCGACTTTTAGGAACCATCTGAAAAATTATGACCCTTTCGAAGAACAAAAACATGCTGCATTTACAGGTTCGCTAATTAGCACAGAAGCACTTGCTGCTTACACTATGGATCTCATAAAGAGAGCAGAGAATTTATCAATACATGAGACCAAAGAAGAACTGTTTAAATTCTTTAAAGTTAATCTTTGGGGTAACAAGTACGTCCGATTTGCAACATCTTAAGTCATTTCGTTCTTATAATTCTATTACATTTAGAATGTTTTGCTTGTAGATGTGATTTATCGTTGAGTGCAGGGGCAGATGTTAGTCAATCTAGCAACCCTATAGAAGTGCTAAAATCGTTAGATAAAGATATTCTTGTAAATAATTCAGAGCTTGCTTGGAATGTGCTAAGAAAGAAAGTGACTAACGATAGGGATATCGTAGACTTTATACTTGATAACGCGGGCTATGAACTTTTCACTGATTTGTGCTTAGCTGTATTTATGGTCTCTACTAAGTTAGCGAGCAAAGTCCGATTTTATGTAAAACGTTACCCATGGTACATCAGTGATGTAACGACGAACGATTTCCACTGGACTCTAGACTATATGCAGAGCTCATCGAATAGAGAACTACAAGAATTTGGTAAACTGGCGAGTAACTATTTAAAGGACAATATATGGACTGTTGAGGTAATTGCAATTTCATATTGGCTGTAATACCATAAAAGCAACGTTTCTCATTCAATATTCTGTACTTAGGAGGAATTATTTTGGACTGGACCCTACGATTTTGCGGAGATGAAAAAACAGGATCCAGTGTTGTACGCAAAATTATCGGATGCAAAAATGGCAATATTTAAAGGCGACCTGAATTACAGAAAACTGTTAGGCGATATTAATTGGGAATACACAACAGAGTTTATGCAGTCATTGAGAGGATTTCAACCAACGAATATCGTAAGCTTGAGAACAGTAAAGTCAGACGTTTGCGTTGGTCTGCCTCCTGGTGTAGCAGAAGATTTATACAAACAAGACGAGAAGTGGATGTTTACAGGGCAATACGGACTTATTCAATCAACTACACCTAAAGCTTGTCCGTGTACTGATCAGATATGTTAAAATTCTATGAGCCATGAAGTACCAAAGAAATCTACGTATTTTCTATCAGGGTATACACAGTCTTGCTGTTCCTCAGCTATTCTGTATTCAGTGTACATAATCAACTCTGTACATATTATTACCAATTTGTAATTATAAATGCTACATAATTCCTTCTTAATTGTAAGAACATTTATCAAAATTTACTTTCTCGCATTATTCCACGAATCTGCTTGTTCAGTTTCCCGCACAACTTTTTACGTATTTATGTTTTGTACTATAATACTACCTTTGTAATAATAATGTTCATATCTCCAGAAACTATTCTTCCAAACAAATTATATGTATGTACAAATGATATCGTGTAAGGGTAAACAAAGAAAATATGATGTTACAGACTCTACTTTAAATACTGAACATGTATTTAATTTATTTACTTCACAGGTATATAATATACGAATAAAATGTTACCTCAACAAATTAAGTAAATTATGTATATATAGCGTTATTAATTACGATGTTCTTTTATAATACAGAATTATTATACAATTGTTTCCTGGTTAAGAATAAAGTGATATTTTATTATTGTTAATACCATCGTGTTTTA